AATAAGAAAATAAATTGCTATTTATTTGTAAAAAATGTTATTTGATTAATTAATTTTGTTATGACAGAATAAATTAAATAAAAGAATAACATAGTTTCTTTAATAAATGTATTTACTGCATTTGATGCAAGTCTGAGATTGTTTCTTTTATATTGCGCAATTTTCAACCTTAATGCGTATTACTAGAGATAATGAATACAAAAATTGCTCTGTTTGAAAAAATGTATTTAAAAACTTAAAAAAAAGTTTCAAATAGGCTCCTAAATATTTCCTTAAAAAAGTTCAGTAAATTAACAATACACTAGCTCACAATACACTACACAAGCTTTTAGAGCATTATAAATGACAATTTTAATAATTATAAATGACAAGTTTAATAAGAAATAAACTATCGGATTTAAATGCACAATTTGGATAAGCCAACAAAAGTGCAGACTATTATAATGAGGGTAGTGAAAACAACAAAATATTTTATTTCTAAATATTATTATTAAAGACTTTTTATTTTTTAGCATGAAAAACTTAAAATAATTTTTTTTCAAATAAATAGCAATTAGTTTTTTTGCTTTCCTGTGCATTGATAAAAACAGTAAAGTTTCGCAAAAACGTAAGAAATGTAAGAAAAACGTTTCGCAAAAATGTAAAAAAAAACAAATTTAAAAATTGTCCATTTTTCTTATGCAAATATTAAAGCATTTCATATATATCCTGACCTAAAAAAGTTGCGAAAAAATTGTATATCAAAAAATGTTTTGTTATTTTTGTTTTATTCTTATCTGCTTTTTTCCTCGACTTATATCAGTTTTGGTATTGGAAACTAACAAGCGCCCTGAAAAAAAAGAAAACAAAAATAGTAAAATTTTTAAGGTTATTATTTTTTTGACAACATTTTTTTATTATTATTCAAATTTTTTTAGCTTATTTTATTTAGACTTTCTATTTTGTATAGTCTTCGCTTCCTTCATCGATTATTGCTGTTTTATTCTCTCTAGTTTCTTATAGCTTTATTATTGCTGTTTTATTCTCTAGTTTCTTATAGCTTTGTTTTACTAATTCTTAAAATGCTCACTATATAAAAATGTGGTCAAGTTGTCTAAAAAATTACTTTGAGCATGGACGAACAAGGTGTGCGACCACACACACTACCGGGGAAAGCTTGTTCTGAGTACTATGTGTGCTCTGAGACTCTAATAGTCACAGTCAATTTCTATAATCAATTGAAAAAATAGCTAAAGTATCAAAAACACAAAAAACCATCTTGATCACAAAAGTCT